ATGGTGCGGTAGTTTGAACATTCTTTGGCATTGCCCTTCTTTGGGATCAGAATGTAAACTGGCCTTTTCCAATCCTGTGGCCACTGTTGAGTTTTCCAAATTTGCTGGCATATTGAGTGTAGCACTTTTACTGCATCGTCTTTTAGGATTTTGAATAGCTCGGCTGGAATACTGTCGCCTCCACTGGCTTTGTTGTTGCTCAGACTTCCTAAGGCCCTTTTGACCTCATATTCCAGGATGTCTGGCTCGAGGTCAGTGACCACCCCATCGTGGTTACTGGGGACGTTAAGCTCTTTCTTGTATAGTTCTTTTGTGTAATCTTGCCACCTCTTCTGCCTCTGTTAGGTCCCTGCCATTTTGGCCCTTTATCATGCCCATCTTTGCATGAAACGTTCCCTTCGTATCTCCAATTTTCTTGAAGAGATCTCTGGTCCTCCCTATTCTATTGTTTTCTTCTATTTCTTTGCACTGTTCATTTAAGAAGGCATTCTTATCTGGGGTTAAAAGATCCGAATAATCACTGGGGTTTTAGATCCTAAAAAAGTAGCATACTGGAGTTTCCAAAGTAAACTGGTGTAAGGAAGCATGCTTAAATACTCTGGGTATCAGTAGCTTGGCACAAGCCATGGAATTTTGTTCTTGTGTATTGTCTCTGACTTGCTTTCCAAATGTCCTGACCTTGATAGCCCTGCTCAACTCTCCTGAACTCAAGGCTGTGGCTTTCTTTATGGAATGGAGCCATCTCATATTTGATCTTTCCCTTCTTCTGCTTAGGCTTTTCCTAGCATAATTGTTTCCTGCAGTAAATCTTGCCTTCTTATGCTATATTCAAAGTATAACAGACTCAGTTTTGCTTTCAGGACAAGCTCTGCCTTGATTTGATCTAGGGCTCACTTGTTTGTCTTTCAGTTCATCCTCCAGCACCATGTTTCAAACAAATCCATTTTCTTCCTGTCAGTTTTCTTCGTTATCTAAGTTACACTATCTAGGTTATAGTGATTGAGAATGCAATAGTTTGATCTTGGTCTTCAGTGAAACATCCTTACATTTGATTATCCTTTCCAGTTGCTTCATTGCAACCTTTCCAAGTCTCAGTCTTCTAAATTTCTTGGCTAGAGTCTGTTTGAACTGATAACTGAGCCAATTTAATTGCAGGGAATGCTTACCTCACCAGAGAGAGATGTGATATGGGAACAGAAATCCACACAACCAAAAACACAGTAGTTTTGACCTTGTCAGTTCATTACATTTCTTATATGCTTAAAACAAAATTTCTATAACACTACAGATACATTTGAGTTTGTGAAGCATTGTAGTAACCAGCATACATTTACAAAAATAGGGGTAGTAACATATTCCCAAACACATTCATGTGTGTTTTTTCAAGTTGTTGGCTGCCACACATTTTAATGATATGGTCAGTTCACACAAACAACTTGTAGGTCAAACAACCCATGGACTGTTGGGGACAAGCAAGAAGGAATTTACACTTTGCATGCTTACCTCTTTCATGTTTAATCCATAATCCACAACCCTTCAAAGGTTGCTGTGTGTATCATTCTAACTCAGATTGCTGGGTTGTTTATAGCAGCTAGACAATCCAGTGGTTAGCCATGGTTTGTTGTTAAGTTGCTTAGCTCCTAAACAACTTTGTGACTTCAGATTTGGAAATATGTTCAGCAACCTCTGAAGGTGTTATTGATGGGTTGCTGATTAAAAGTGGTAGGAGGCAACACAACTGTTCTCCCCTGCCCAAGGCCCAAGGGCTGTTGCAATTGTCATGTGCAAACTAGGTCATATGTTCAAAGTTCCACACAGATAGCTGCACAATCAGTTTTATGAACATTGGCAGCTATATTGAAACATAACAGGTAAAGGTTGGGCAACCTAGAAGCCCCAGTCAGATTGGTCAATACTAAGGGATGATGGGAGATCTAATTCAAAGTATCTGAATGGCACCAGGTTGCCTACTTCTGTAATAACTGATACTCTCAGTCAGGTGGCAACTACTTAGCTAAAGGTATTATGCAGCTTTTTCATATTCACCTCTTTAACTTATTTGAGGTAAGAAAAAAGATGTAAGCAGTAATAGGAAAATACAGAAGGATTGCAAATATCTGGAATCTTCCTCCTTCCTTCCCCTTGTAATATTCCATGAATGAGGCAGGCCAATTGCACATTACAAGCCCTATCTGGAGGCACCTATTGCCTCACGACATCTTATCCTTCTTTTTGCCCAATCAGAGCTCAGGAATGGAACTGTTCACAACACCATTAATAAAGAAAATTCATTTTTATTTCAAATATATATATAAGCAGTCCATATATCTTACCAAGATTCAAACAAAATTGACTTTGAGCAAATAGTTGGTAACCAAATGTGTCTTAATTCTTTAGGGTGTACTTTAACTGCAAGCACAGCACACTATCTTAAAAGCCAGAATGAAAGTTTTGAACCCATTAAGTAAGGGATTCAGTAAGTTTTCTGAACGATGGCGCCAAACAGGCTGCTAGATGAATTCACAAGCATTTGCTAGCAGGATCCTTCCTGATGATACATTTGAGTGTGTGTGTACATCTTACCTGTAATAGAAGACAGACTGCACCTTAACATTTGCAAGTTGATTATTCTAGTGCCGAACAGGTGCTGTTTCCTTCCCACTCTCCCTGTGTTTGGTGATGTCTCCCCTGGGGATTATAATCATGTATGAATTTGTCTATTGCAACTATATTTCATTTTCCTTTCAAGAACCTCAGGATGGTGCACATTGGTTTTCTCCTGTTTTTTATCACATCTGCATAAAGTAGGCTAGGCTGAGTGATAGTGACTAGCATGACATCACAGCAGGAGCAATCATATGGCCCTTCAGCAGAGTCTGAGGAACCACAGATTAATATTTTAGATTCTTAGTGTCAACAAAAGCACTCAGACCTCAGCACTCAGTGAAATTCAAGTTTCAAGGCCACCCCACCTTGCACCTGGCATGAAAAGAACTGTGCTGGTGACCAAGCTTGGGAAAGTTTCCTCAGAAACAGGCAAAGGGGAACATTTGAGTGTGTGCGAAGGGAACAAAGCGGACAGGCCAGAATATAAGTTCTGCTGAGGCCTCCTCACTCTCCTTCTCTCCCCTTCCCATGCACTTTTCCTAGATGGGCAAAAAAGGGTGATAATGCAGGGTAAGGGGCTACTTCCACTGCTGTTACTGCCCTGCATAGGATGCTCATGAGCCTCCAAGTTCGGGGGCTTACAAGCACTGAGGGCACAACCCATACAAGTGTACTTGGTGTGAGCTCCATGGTTACTTGTAAAATTTCTAAAGTTTCTTCAGTATGTGCTTTCTGAAAGCTACTTTTCTACTGTATAAAGTTATAACAGAGATCTGCCTTTTCTTTTTTATCTTTAATTCTCAGCCTATTATTTTAGATACATTACATTATAATGAAAAAAAACCATATACAAGACATGGAAGATCTTTATCATCTCTAGAAATGCAAACTTCTGACTTTCACACTTTCTTAAACAAAAAAAAGGTACTGTGACTGATGAAGTCTGGAATGGATCCTTCATGCAACCAGCACTCTCAAGAAAAACACGGGCATTAAGCTCTTTACAAGCTATTGTCCTCAAAGTCATGCATAGAAGGACAGGGGGTTCATAGTCAGAGTCAATTATTCTAAAGCCAGAAGTCAGCTGTGGATAAGGAGTAGATTTTCAGGAAGGCACCCATCTTGCCAAGAGAAGTAACCCCAGCCTTGGCAGGTTTTACAAAAGATACCACAATTAAGAAGTCAAGGCATCTGGTCTACATACAGCTTTAGGGCACATTGAGAGCACCTAGGTTGACGTCATCATGTGGGCAACATACTGCAGTTCATCTACGGAGCTAATGCTAATTGCAGTGGGGACTAAGGGAAGGCTCCTAGTGTCCATTCTATGTTGTAGGGAGAAAAGCTGAGACCTGTTCAAAAACCTTTTGAACAGGTATCCAAGGCTAGTTCCATTCTTGCCCTGGAGGGGTCTGGGAGTTAATGAATTAGGACAGGGCATCTGGATGTCAAGACTCCTGCATGGATTTGGGGCTTAGGGAGGGCAGAAGCTCATTGCTCATGATCCCTGCCAAGGATGTCAGGTCCACAGCCTCCTGGCATCAGAGTGCCAGGGTGTCTTTGATGAGGCGCCGCATGGTGGTAGTGACAGAGGTCCCAAGTGAGTCAGTAATCTGGTAAGAAATCTTGTACAGATAAGGTTGCACATCCCGTAGCCCTGTATCAAAAACATTGTCCACCTCAGACTGGGTGGGCATCTTAGGCAGGTACTCATGTCGGTTCATCACTTCCACTACATTGATGATCTTTTCACAGAGTTTCTCGCCCACTTTCTCACGGCAGATCTGCCGCTCCTGTTCATTAGCCAGGCTCACCACATTCACTTTGACCATCCACACCTCCCAGGGGATGCACTCATCTGAGAAGGGCCACCGTGATTTCTTCTTCTGGTAGAACTCCAGGGAGATCTGGCCCATCCCATCATTGCCAGAGTTCCGCAGTGCATCCTGGGAAAACAAACAACGAGGGGTGTTTTACAAGACAGGTCCTCCAAGTTTCCCTTCTCACACACAGAAATCTCTTATTCCACTACCAGGAATCATACTGTGTGGCCAACACAGCTAGAAAGTTGTGTATACCAAAGCATTACAAGCTGACAGCGTTTCAGAACTATGAAGATCATTAAAATTTTTAGCTTGGAGGATTTCCAAAGCAGTATTTGCTAAAAGCATTACACTGTGATTCTAGTCATTAGTGGGTGGGGCCATTTCACACCATGCAACATCCAATCTTCTTCCATAAACCCTAATCCCTGCCTTTTATCCTCACTCATATGATAAAAAGTAAAACATTGCACAAAGGAATAGCATTGCAGTGGAGCAAAATGTGCTCTCTAACACAGTCACTGAAGCTATAATCCTATACCCATTGCCTGAGATTTGAGAATGAGTCCCACTGAAAGCAATGGTGCTTCCTTCTGAACAGTTATTTATATGATTGCGCTGTGTGACCAAGCATCACACTGCCATCAATTCCTAAAGAAAGTGCAAGGTGTCTTTACGTGGAAAGTGCACAGCCATGCACTGCCTCCTCCAACAGCCTTTGCAATATACAAGTGTTCTTTCCATGTATCCTGCTCATCACAACAATGACTGTTTAAAACACTTATATATTCAAGAAGCCTCAGAATTAAAAAATGAAAGAAAATACAAAATGTAATACAATCATTCATGTAGCAAACAGGCAACTGAGTCATCATAAAAGAGGAAATATTTAGTTAAAAACACTGAAGTAACATCTTCACAACTCATCAAAAGGCATATTGTAATGGAGCCAGGACTATCCCACTACAGAGACTGCTTCACAATTCAGGTGCCACAATGGAGAAGGCTCTTTCTTTTGTTCCTTCCTATAGCACATCAGACACTAAGGGCACAATCCTATGCATATTTAGACGAAAAGGCCCTACAATTCCCAACATATGTATGATAGGAGTTGTAAGGTTTTTTGACTAAATAGTGCACCTTAAAGCAGTATGGAAGAAGAATGAAATTCTTGGGCAGGTTTCCACAGGAAGAAGTGATTCCAGAGATAACCCACCTTGAGATTGTTAACCAGCACTTCGAATTAAGCCTGGGAACAACCTGGCAACCATTGCTGTCAGTTTCCTGGCCGCAGCTAAAATCCTATGGCAGCCTGCATTCTAGACCAATGTAAGTGGAAGTTTCTAAACTGTTTTCAAGGGCAGCCACACATAATTGCAACGTAAGATAAGTAAAAAATAAATGCACCCACAGCAAGCTTTACCTTGAATTCCCCAACTGCTTTTCTCAATGCCCGGTCAAGCTCCTCTGAAGTGACTCTGACATAGGTGAAATCTATGAAGTCACAGTCAACATCTTGTGTGCCCACAGTCCCAATGGAGTAGGTCCCTTCCTTCTTGTAATGGAACTTTCCGGTGCTACGATGGAGCAGTATGGTGTGCAAAACAGCCAGCATGGCCTCTTCAATTTGGCGACCCTCGACTGATATCTCCAGCACCTCTGATCGACAGTTCATCTTGGCTTTTGCAAAAGAAAATAGATAAGGTGCTCTTTCATACAAGAGCACAATTAAAAGGGTGGCAATCTCTATCAAGGACATCTCAGCTAGAAATTTAAGAACTGATGTCTGAGGCAACAATCCTGTTTACTTGCTCCCAAGAGTACATCCATTGAACACAATGAGAGTTATTTCTGAGTAGTCATGAATAAAATTACATTGAAGCTTGCTTTCTTCCTCCCCACTTATAACACTTTATTGTGTCTTATTAAGAGATAGAAGGAGTACTACCCTTGTGTTTTAACACGTGTAAGCTGTTGTATACTAAAGACTAAGGGTAAACAACTGCAGAATTAAAACAAATATAAAGCATTCCTCAGATAAAATTAAAATAGGCTAAATGAAGAAATACTTCTGCCTACCACCTTCCCTTTGGCCTGAGCAGACATGTGAACTGCTGTCCAGTTTGGAAAAGTTTCTTATACGAAGATGTCTCCTAGAATGAACTATGAAACAGAGCAGTGCCTCTGTACTTTTACAGCTGTGTAGGAGAGGGAACTTCAGAAGCTGATGGAGTTCTTGTCCCAGTATCACTATGACATGAAAAGGTATACTTACTGACATTCTCCTATCTACTCAGCTATTAAACATACAGGAAACATGCTCTCTGTTCTACTGCATATGGTGACTCCAAAGTCTTCCTATTTTTCCAAGTGGGATTAGGCTGCAGTTTGTTTTTTTTAATCGAAGTGAAAATGGGCAGTATCTATGCCTGCCTCCTGCTAGTGCTAAGGCAACTAGTTTTAGAGCAAGTCAAAAACAGTAAAATGCTCTTTTCTGTAACAGTGCAAGTCAGCAGAGCTTGCAGAAAGGTCTATTAGCCTGATCTAGAAACAAATGTTTCTGCTTGTTTCTTGGGCTGCTGTTTGAACCATAGTATTCTGCTGTGTGACAGTGGTTGCACTTGCACAGAAAATTGAGTGGGGAGTATAGGATACTGCCAAATGATATGGCTATCTGGAAAAAATATAATAAAGTTTTGGAAAATAACCAATGCCCTAAATTGACTTGGATCTATCTTAGCATTAGATTTAAGCAATATATCCAAAAAGTATTTTAATTATATATGTATTAGAAATATACCATAAAGCATTTTCAAATAGCCCAAAATATTTGAACTCAAAGATTCAAGAAAAAAAAATTCACTGAATGTACTTGGCCTGAAAATCTAACTATATGGAAGTGTTACTAGACACAATACAAATTATTTCCCACAAAGTATGTATGGGATTGTAGAGTAAATGTTGTTTAATTTTTAGATTTAAACAAAGCTTTACTTATAAATTATTTTTACTGGACTACATGTAATTTTTTAAAGCTATGACATTTCACTAGCATATACTTCCTTACATTGGGTTGTATCCCATGTAAATCTTAAGAGTAGATCCATGAAGATGAATGAAGTATAAGACAAATACTGGATACAACCAATTGTTTAAGTTAAGTGGTAGGTAGAAAATGAAGGCACTGAAAAGAATAAACAAATCTTTATTTTATGTTTTATATATGCATGCATATTTCCTATGGTTAGACACCTGTAAAAATGTTGAATCCAACCAATTGTACTAATATTGTACCCATCTGTTATGTCACTAATACATGTTATGAAACAATGAATTTATTGAAATGAAACATTTCCATGGAAAAAAGCAAAAAATAAAAAAATAAAAAAATGGAAAAATGGTTTAACAGCTTTAACAGCAAACAGACATGAAGAAATTAAGTAGAAGCAACACCTCTGTGCCAGGAAAAAATCACTTGTTCATTTTGCTTATATTCATAAGCCAAGTAAAAAAGTTGGTATTGGCACTAACTAGGTTTACTTATTTAGAATATACGTATACTGTTCATCAGCGAAATGGCTCTCTGAATCAGTTAGCAATTTTAAAAAGAATGAGAAACAACACTAATAACCTCCATAATGTTACGACAATTCCACAGAAGAGTTCAGAGTTGTCCTATTTTATTATTCATTATATTTATAGCCCACACTTTTTCTTTTTTAAAGAAATCAAGGCAGCTCACATTATTCTCCTCCACCTGCTTTCGGTCTTATCCTCACAACAACAATCCTGTGGGATAGGCTGGGCTGAGGGTCACCCAGTCGGCTCCATGGCTGAATGGGGACTAGAACCCCGATCGCCTGAGTGCGTGCCCCGGGCTCGCAAGCACCGCACCGGCTCTCTCACGGAATGGGGAAGACAGCCCTGAGCTGGCCCAGCCACCCCAGGCAGCTCTGTGGCAGGGGCGGCACGGGCACTCAGGTCCAGGCCCAGCCACGTCCAGGCCACGAGGCGACTGAGCCTGTCGTCCTTCCTTGTCTCCAGCGCCCAAGCGGAGCAGGAGAGGCCCTTCGGTAACTAACGCGACCATCCGAGGATGGGGGTCTCCGTGAGGAGACAAGAATCGGAGACTCACCTGCCCCAACCTCGGACGCTTCCCAGGGAGAACAACTTAACCTTTGGGCCGTCCCAATTAAGGACGGACGGGAGGGGGACGCTCAAAAGTCATGAGCGATCCTCCCACAGCGAGCTATTGCTATCCTTCCTGCCGCATTCTCTTAAACATAGGTAAGCATACACTGAGTGAAGCAGCCATTTATCTGTTTATGTTTTTCCCCTTCTGGGCTTTTAAAACGTAAGCTTTCGCTCTGCTTCCCCCTGCTGTCCTTAGTATGTTCCAACAAAACAAACCGCAAGACACAGAGCCAGGAGGACTGCAACTTCCTGGTGTTGCGGACCAATTTAGCTCTCTGCTGCCACCTTTAGGAGCATGAGAAGCTCGGTGAATTTTATTGATTTAAAATACTGCTATTTCTAGATGTTGCGCGACGAACGCAACGCACGGTCCCTGATGTGAAAGGGGGAAAAGGGTTAGAAGAGGGAAGACAAACAAATTACAAACTGATTTGTACATCAAAGCCTGTAATTCCTAATTTCCCGTGAACGCTTGCTTTTTCCATCAGCATATCCAAGGACAATTCACACGCTGGGAGACTATTTCCATAGACAAGACAGCATTATTATCCTTTCCTGTGCGAAACAGGGTCGTTCATTCCTCTCCACTCTGAAAACGTATATCTACCAAGCGTGCGGGATATGGTCAGTAGAAAGCCAGCTTCTACAGGTAACACGCAAACGGAGGAATTTCAGCAGGGATTTCGCCTGACTGTGCTGCGGAGAAAATCTGTAACGGAGCCCTGTTGTCTTTCGCGTCTGACAGCCGTGGAATCCAGCTTGATGCTAGCTTTACTCGGAAGGATGCCCTACTGACTTCCATAGGGCTTACTTGATGATACAAGGGATTACAGCCCAGAATCCTCATAAGCAGGGCTGCTTCTGTATAAGAGCAACCAACAGTATACCGTAGCTTCATCTTGTTTATAGCCATACTTGTCTTTTCATACTAATGCCCTCCAGACTGAAACTCCTATCATTCCCATCCAGTGGCCATGCTGACTGAACACAATGGGAGTTACAACCCAACACATCTACAGGGCACCAGTTCGGGGGAGTTTTAATACATTCGACATAACTGAAAAAAGTGAATTAATTCATGTGCATCCATCGGGGTACGAAGGCTCCTCGGGACCCAGGTGTGGAAAATCGGAGGACTTGCCTATGCAAACCCTCCCCGACACCTGCTCAATAGCAGTTTAGCGTCTAGCGGAAGAGCATGCAACTCTTCATCTCTCGATAGCAACAAGAAAGTGCGCACTTACCTCCCTCCGTTGGGGACGACGCATGCTGACAACGTCTTTCCGCTGCGCGAACTTGTCACCACCGGAAGGGGCGTGGAAAAGGGCAGGTCGGAGCGCGTGGCTGAGCGGGAGTTCTGAACGGGAACGCGCGCTCGGTGCGCGAGGAAGTTGCTCAGGCAGCGGTGCGGGCAGGCCGGGCTGCTCGTGCGCCGCGTTTCCTCCCGGCGATGAACGTCCATGACCAACAGCCATCTTTCATCAGGTTCTCCATCTTTCTGGACGGCACTGCTGCCATCTGCCTGCTTCCTTCACCACTGAACCCCTTTTACAGTGATGCAGGGGGGCCTCCTGAGGGAGGACAAAGGATGATAAGCTCCCCCCAGTGAGGAAGTCCCCCTCCTGTTGCTGGACGCCTGTCATGACTGGAAGGAAATGCCCTTTTTAAAAATACAAGTGCGGTCTTCAGCTGAAGCCTGTTAATAAAAACTAGTTTTGAGCCTACATTGTGTCTTTGCTTCCTTCTTGAAACGACAAATTGGCACAAGTCCTCTCAGGAGACAGATAACTGGGTGCAACTTTCCCAACATGTTCAAATATTATTGTCTCCGTTGCTTTTCTGCAGTTCCTCTTACAAAGATGTATTTTACAGCTTACAACATACTCTTCAAGATGGTTATAAACCAGTGGCGATCCACTGAGGGGAAAGAAACATCTGGTACGCAGGGGACAAGTAATTGAGAACGTGGACAGCTGCATTGTAGGTCTGGGGTATAATTAAAGCTCCCCCCAGAGCCCTCATCTCAGCATCAGCTAGGCTGAGAATCACTTTCAACTCGGTTGTGCAGTTGCAGGCCCCCTTTCAACTACTTGCGAACATAATACCTTTAAGCCTATTTTTTAAATTTCTGTTACCTTTACAGTGTAATCCTCCTGCGCATGGTATTTATGCAGAGTTAGGTTACTGAGTATAGAATTGCAGCTGTAGATATGCTGGATGTTGTCTGGAGTGAGATACAGCCTAATCCCATAGATCAGCAAGAATCATGGAGGGTAATGTTTGACTGTATTTAATGGAGCATGGCTTGTTGTGGGAGATGTGAATGTGATTATGAGAGGTAGCCATAAAGAGCCTTTCCTGTTCTTGAACATATACACTGCATTAGAAAGCTAGCCTCCTATGTCTCCCCAAGAAAGGGGTTTGGGAAGCAGAATAAAGAAACTGCCCAGAAAAGAAAGTGGGAACTGGGGATGCAGCAACATGGAGTGAGGAGGAAACCCCTACAGGGAGCCACTTGAAGCTGACTAAACCAGTGGCTAGGCGGCAGTGTTGCAGGCAGCTCCACTGCAGATCCAGGAGTGCCATGTTACACGTGTGTACTTAAAGGTGCATGAAGAGTGGTGAAGAGAGTTGGTGGCTCCTGAGATGTGTGAACAAAAGGTGTGGAAGAGGACAGTAAGACACTTAGCCAAAAAGGAACAAACAGAAGCCTGCAAAGGAAGGGCAAATGTTGCTAATGACTGGAAGGGCAAAAGGTGAGTCACTATTGCCCCTGTGAAGAAGGCTTGCTAAATTTCATTTCATTTCCTCTCTTGTGGCCTATGTGGGTGGGATCCTTCCCTTAGAGTGTGAGGGTGGTGTGTGTGGTGAGTACTAAGAAGTTGCTGTGCTGTAATGTTGTAATAAACCCATTAATAAAGAGGTCTGATTGAATCTGAAGAGTCTACAGTGTGCTAGCTGGTCAGCAGCATTGTGAATTTAACACCAGAAAATCAGATAACACTCTCTTCTGCCTTT